TGTAATGGTTGTAGGGGCTGTAATGTTTGAAGGTGATACAGACTGCAGTGTATGTAGTGAACACATGCTGTATTGTGTATAGGGAGTTATGAATGGCTGTGATAAGGTAGGAGCTGTGATGGAGAGATAATGGCTGTGTTGGGTAGACAGGGGCTGTGTTGGGGGGGGCAGTAGTGGGGATGTTAACTGTAGAGGAGCTAGGGGGATTATGGCTGTGATGGTGGGATAGAGGCAGTAATGGACTGATCGGGGCTGTGATAAGTGGGATTAGGAGCCGTGATGGGGGGTAGGGGCAGTAGTGGGGGATAGGAACTGTAGAGGGGCAGTGCTAAGAGGGAAGAATGGCTGTGATTGGGGATATGGGCAGTATTGTGGGGGTAATCAGAATATATGATTGAAAGTGTTATCCATCTTGCAAATTGCTCCATTCATATTTTCACAAACTGAACTATAGACATCACCATGCCACCAATGGCGGAGCTACCTCCACACCAGCTGTACCGGGGCCTGCCGGCTCAGGGTAATATTGCTGTATTGCTAAACAGGGGACTGGCCGGATGCCACAGCCTTTTAAGACCGCGACTGAGCCCCTTTGATATCTGCCGACTGAGAGGAAGTCACAACCGATCACTTCTTCCAAGCTTCTTCCTGAAATACTGTGCGTGGACAGAAGGAGGAGACGGCAGAGTTGGCACAGGCAGCATTGGAGGAGGCAGATAGGAATTACAACAGACTGCTAGACTGCTCCCCTCAGTAGTCAATGCAAGCCACCCTCCTGGAAACAAAATGTATAACAAGAGGGTGGCTGCAAATGTAAAAAAAAAATGTGTGTCTGAATCTTTGTCGCAGTATGTGTGAGTGTGTGTATCTGTGTCACTGTGTGTGAGTGAATGTGTGTATCTGTGTCACTGTGTGTGTCTGTGTATCTGTGTCACAGTGTGTTTGTCTGAGTGTATGTGTATCTGTGTCACAGTGTGTGTATAGTTACATAGTTTAAAGGAACACTATAGTCACCTAAATTACTTTAGCTAAATAAAGCAGTTTTAGTGTATAGATCATTCCCTTGCAATTTCACTGCTCAATTCACTGTCATTTAGGAGTTAAATCACTTTGTTTCTGTTTATGCAGCCCTAGCCATACCTCCCCTGGCTATGATTGACAGAGCCTGCATGAAAAAAAAACTGGTTTCACTTTCAAACAGATGTAATTTACCTTAAATAATTGTATCTCAATCTCTAAAATGAACTTTAATCACATACAGGAGGCTCTTGCAGGGTCTAGCAAGCTATTAACATAGCATGGGATAGGAAAATCTTAATTAAACAGAACTTGCAATAAAGAAAGCCTAAATGGGGCTTTCTTTACAGGAAGTGTTTATGGAAGGCTGTGCAAGTCACATGCAGGGGGGTGTGACTAGGGTTCATAAACAAAGGGATTTAACTCCTAAATGGCAGAGGATTGAGCAGTGAGGCTGCATGGGCATGTTCTATACACCAAAAACGCTTCATTAAGCTAAAGTTGTTCAGGTGACTATAGTGTCCCTTTAATTTTTCAAGATTCTTTTGTTTCAGGTACCAGAGGACTGGAGGAAGGCAGATGTCGTTCATATATTTAAAGAGGGTTCAAAATCCTTGCTTGGAAATTATAAATCTGTGAGCTTAACTTCTGTGACTGGGAAAATATTTGAAGGGCTCTTAAGAGATAATATTCAGGAATTCATTGGGAAGAACTTTGTTATTAGCACTAATCAACATGGTTTTATGAAACATAGGTCATGTCAAACTAACCTAATTGCATTCTACGAAGAAGTAAATAGAAGTATAGATCAGGGTGATGCAGTGGATGTGATCTACTTTTTTTTGCCAAGGCATTTCATTTGGTTCCTCACGATAGGTTAGTCTTCAAACTAAAAGAAATTGGTCTAGATTAATATTCTTGTTCTTGGGTAGAACATTGGCTTAAGGATAGAGTACAACGAGTTGTCATTAACGGTAAATTTTCAGGCTGGACAAAAGTGGTAAGTGGTGTCCCTCAGGGTTCTGTTTTGGGACCGCTTCTATTTAACATATTTATAAATTATCTTGAAATAGGCATTGAAAGCAATGTTTCAGTGTTTGCAGATGACACAAAACTTTGTTAAGTAATAAAATGTGAACAGGATATTTCTTTGCTGCAGAGGGATTTGGATAGATTGGGGAACTGGGCACTAAAATGGCAGATGAAATGTAATGTAGAGAAATGCAAAGCTATGCACTTAGGGGTCAAGAATGCACAAGAAATTTACACCCTAAATGGTAGTGAACTAGGGATAACCACACACGAGAAGGATTTGGGAATTGTTATAGACAACAAATTAGGCAGCAGCATGCAATGTCAATCTGCAGTTGCTAAGGCCAGTAAGGTTTTGTCATGTATAAATAGGGGCATAAATTCTTGGGATGAAAATATAATTTTGCCTCTTTATAAATCGCTGGTAAGACCACACCTTAAATATGCTGTGCAATTTTGGGCACCTGTTCTAAAGAAGGATATCATGGCACTAGAAAAAGTGCAGAGACGAGCTACAAAATTGATAAAAGGAATTGAGCATTTTAGTTACGAAGAAAGGTTAAAAAATGTAAATATCTTTAGTTTGGAAAAACGGTGCCTCTGAGGGGATATAATAACATTATACAAATATATTCGGGGCCAGTACAAACCATTATCTGGAAATCTATTAATAAACATGGCTATACACAGGACACGGCTGGAAGAAAGGAGAATTCATATATGGCAAAGAAAAGGTTGTTTTTTTTAACAGTAAGAACAATAAGGATATGGAATTCTCTGCCTGAAGAGTCCATACAGATGTTTAAACTGCAATTGGATAAATACTTGCAAAAACATGACGTACAGGGAGATAATTTCTAATTAGTGGGGTAATAGCTGCTTGATCCAATGAGACATCTGACTGCTATTTTGAGGTCAAGAAGGAATTTTTTTCCTAGTTTGTTGCAAAATTGGAAGTGCCTCAGACTAGGTTTTTTGCCTTCTTTTGGATCAACAGCAAAAACATATGTGAGGAAGGCTGAACTTGATGGACGCAAGTCTCTTTTCAGCTATGTAACTATGTAAGTGTTTGTGCATGTGTCAAGGTGTGTGCATGTGTCAGTGTCTATATGAATTTGTGTGTATGTGTCAGTGTCTTTAAATGTGTGTATCTCTGTATTAATGTGTATGTATATCTGTGCAAACACACTCCTGCAATCTAACCCAAACATTACATGCAAACACACCCCTGCATTCAAGCTCTAAAATTATATACAAACACACTCCTTCACTCAAACACCTACACATACTACACACAAATGTACACCCATATTTAAAAGCCAACATTACACCTAAACACACCCCTGCAATCATATGCAAACATTACATTCAAACACACCCCTGAATTAAAACACAAACACTACACACAAGTAAACCACTACATTCCAATGACAACTGTACATACAAATACACCCCTACATACCCACATATACTCTATACAAAAACATGCTTACATTCAAACGCACAAACACTGCTCACAAATACAACCCTACAAGGATTGAAAAATGGTAGATCTCCAGTTGGCAAAGCATTATTGGAGTTGTACGACAGATGGAAATCTACTATTTGGTCACTTTTGCATTAGAGGGCACAAAAAACGTTCTTGCACAAGGGCCATCTCTACATTAGTTCTGCCACTGCATGGCACCTTCACCAAAAAATTAGATTAATACCATAACTTGCATGGGTGTATATATTATGTAAGTACTTGTATTGACAAAAGAAAGCATTCCCTCCCACCTGACATTTGGGGTTTGTGCTTATACAGTAGCTGGACTGGATTATGCAGCTCAATGCAGTTATAAGTAAATACGAGAAAGGGCATATCTCTTAACACTGGGAGATATGAACACAGGACAGTGAAGTGCTTTGTCACTGGTAATGTGAGAGGCAGCAGGTCTGCCCCAAAAATAATACTAGCCCAGCCAGGGAAAGTGTGGATTGACAGGCTGGCTTGCATGTATGACCCATTCAGGGTAGCTTATGTGCAGGGTGCTATTGAACCATTCTCCTTTGGGCATCAGTCTCCCAATGCAAGCATGTCTAGTGCATGATGTGCTTATGCTTCGTTTCCTGGAAGAAAAACAACAAGGGACAAACCAGTATAGGAGCCTGATGATGGAGCACCTGCCCCTCCCCTCAAAGTTTTTTTTCAATAATATTGAATTTCAAATTTAAAGAGGCACTCTAGACACCAAAACAACTTCATCATGCCCCCGGAGGCACTCTTAACCTCTACGGGTTAAACCGTTCTCTCAGTGACTCCCCATTCACTAAGCCGGCTTGGAAAAGGTGCGTTTCTTTCTAAGCCAGTTTTATAAATGTAGAGTCAATGATTGGATGAGAGCGTGAGCTGACTGCTCTTAGCCAATCAGTGGCGCCCCTGCCCGGCGGCAATCTGCTCTTCCTGAATCTGAAAATTCTAAACTCGATGCCGCCTCTGAGGAGTGGACATCTCCGCTAGAGGCAACTTTGGGGTTAAACCGTTCGAGAATGGTTTAACCCCTTGCGGTAAGAGTGGCTCTTGGGGTGTCCTGGTACAGTAAAAACTTAATTTAGATTAAGTTGTTTTGGTGTCTGGAGTGTCCCTTTAAACTTGAAATTCCCTTTTAATTCACTTCTAATTCTCACTTTGGTGATTAGCTCTGTTAGTAGTGAATTGAAAAATCCAACTGCAAAATCCAGGCAAACTGTGAGTGAAGGCATCCTAAGAAGGATAAATTAAGCCATTGGGGGTTTCAATTTGCTGTTTTGTAGCCCCCTCAATACTGCTTGCTTTCTTGGCAGAACAGACTACCCATTGCCCTAATAGCCCAGCACAGTTCCCAGCTTTCTCCCAGCTTTCTCAGCCTGAACAGACCGGAAGCAGCAGTTCATTCACATTGGGAAACAAACCGGAACGTGTGATTACCCGGAACGCAAAAATCAGTTTACTCTGTTGTTGGGGGGCCGCTTTCATCGGTGCGCTTAGTGGGCGTGCTCACGTCACGTGCTGGTAGAGTTTCCTGGCAGCATGGCTGAGACAGAACAGCCTGAGCGACCGGCAGCCAAGAAAAAGAACCCAAACAAACAGCAGCCAGGTCAGCAGCACCGGCCCTGGATATTAATGGGCGTATCCCCTGCAAGGAAATGGGGGGACCCTGTGCCACTTGTAACATGAAATCCATGTACCCCCACAATGCCTCCCCATGGTTATTACATAGAGCCCTCTATGGGAGGGATCCAGAAACATGTCTGGGGAATGGACTGCATATAATGGAAACCAGGGTAGTGTGATGGAATCATTGGTTTAGTTTTAGAACGTTGACCCAGAATTAGAATGGATACATGGCACTCCACGTGTGCTTTCAAGCTCTTGGTATATGTTGGTAACTAACTTAGAGGCATTCAGCTATAATAATGTAGTTAATTGTAGTGTTTAAGCTGTTTGGGCTATAAACAATATCTTACTCAAGGCTGTATTCACACACAATAGTGATTGTGGGTCTCAGTGGCATTTTTTTAATAATCACATCACTGGATATGCACAGTCTTTTATTTCTAAGGAACACGGCCAAATGAAGCTATGGGTCAAACGAATATTGACCCATCTTTATCGAGTCTGTTTATAAAAAAAAAAAAGGAACCTGGCACAGTTGAGAAAGTAGAGCAGTTAATTGGCACGTTCTGTGACTTCAATTAGTGATTGATTCATTTAAAGAATATTACCCCGCTGTAGCTCTGTATAAGTAAGTTAGTTTCAATACTTGACATGTTATAATGGACTTGCTTTATAGAGCATGTCTTGTACTGCTTGATAAGTTGCATGTGGTCTTATTGCAGCTAGTACCCTTTTTTTTTTTTAATATATAGCGATGTGAATCTGTTAATGGCTTATACATTGCATTTCTGAGTTTCTATGCACTTACTGAACCTGCAGGGCATTGTGTATGCATGTAATGTCTAGATCAGTGTGTATGTGCTATTTATACCTAGGCCTGGCTTCCCCAATCTCCGGCCCTCCAGATTATATTGAACTACAACTCCCATGATTCTATGAAATAGGTTGAGAATCATGGGAGTTGTACTTCAGCAACATCTGGAGGGCCAGAGTTTGGAGAGGCCTAACCTAGACAAATGGACTAAACTAACATGCAACACCTATCATAAACATAGTGTTATTTAAAGTGACATTTAAGTTTTATTCTTTCTGTTACTTAATAGTGGATGAATCAGAACTTCTTACCGTCCCTGATGGCTGGAAAGAGGAGCCCTTCACCAAGGATGATAACCCTCGGGGATTGCTGGAGGAGAGCAGTTTTGCAACATTATTCCCAAAGTACCGGGAAGCTTACCTGAAAGAATGCTGGCCTCTGGTGCAGAAAGCTCTAAATGAAAGCGTGAGTATCACCATCATTTTATATTCTGTTTAAGACAGAAAAGTATAAAATGATGCGCTGTTTTATACTTTTATGAATTAAAAGTCAATTTTTCTATTGCTTACAAAAATTTTAATTTATTAAAAACCCTTACAATGTATTCTAGAATTAGGGGATCCTGGTTGGAGTGTCTGCTTCTGAAGATGGAGTTAGCTGGCTGTAGCTAAAGGCAGATTTTACGACTTTGCTATATATTTGAAAGAATATCTATTTTACTTAATTGTTTTTTGCATCATATGATCCATTAAAAATGAGGTCCACTTTGACCGTATTGTGTCCCTTTACATTTGCTTTGTGGAACAGGAGAGTCTTGTACAGCTATTTGCAGATATCATTATATTGAGTCTGAAAATACTATATACTTTTATTCCATTTTCTGAGCATCTAGATTTTAGTCCATAGTGAACCTGATATCCACAAGTTCGCTGAATGATGGGTTCATATTCATGTATTTCTGATATTCCATATGTACATGATACTTGGAAACAAAATGTTTTGCTCTTTGAATGTTGGTCATGACATGTAACTTCATGCACAATTGGTCTACACTGGCGTATGTATTTTAACCATATATGCTCATTTTAAGATGTTTATAAACTGTGACACTGGGTACTGTGACACTGTTTTTGAAGATTTGCTGTATATACGTGCTTTCATTAATTTCTCAAATTACTAATTTTATGCTTAGCCAACTGATATAATTTCTAATTTTCAGTTTGTAAAAGCTGAATTGGATTTGATTGAAGGAAGCATGACTGTCACAACAACCAAGAAGACGTTTGATCCCTATGTTATTGTACGAGCTAGAGACCTCATAAAGCTGCTAGCCAGAAGTGTCCCATTTGAGCAGGTATGTGACCTAGCAACATTTGTAAGGAGAGATAATAGTAATGTAAACAAATCATAACCATAGTAAAATAATATTGCACCAAATGATGTAATATGCCAACAAATCTTTATCTTTTCACTATAAAGTACATATTTAGAGAGAGAGTGAAAGAGAGCAGAGTAATAATTTGGAACTGGGGTAACTATAAAGGTAGATACTCAGATGTTGAACTACAACTCCCGTGATCCTTTGCAAGTCAGCCAAAGCATCATAGAAGCTGTAGTTCTAAAACAAACATCTACATCCTTTTCTGATTTAAAGAATGTAACATTGGGTACAGGGAAGACCAGAGGGCCAGTCTTCAAAAAAATCGGTGAGGAAGGCCGTCTTAGTGATATGATGGTTGTCTCCAATATGCAGGCCATATTTAAAGGAACGCTGGGCATTGTATCAACTCCATAAGAACATGTATTTGATGCTTGTTCTCAAGTGATGTGCCTGTCTGAGGCTCTCTTAGGCTTCCTGATTTAAGCCCCTGACAAAAGCAAAGGAGAGAGGTTGAATTTAACATTCGTTAACAGTTTAACCCCTAGAGGTTGTTATGGTGCCCCGAGGGTCTACACCAGTTAATATAAATTCATGGAGAAAGTATTTTAGGGAGTAATGTAATTTTGGCCCCATATGTTATTAAAAATGTTTATATTTGCAAAATTACAATATGTAAGGAAGTGCAGCTTTGGTTAGTATTTCGCTGAGTAGTTGTGCTCTAAGGAGTTATATATAAATATTTTTTTTCTGGCAAGTAAAGGAGTAGCAGCACTATTTGAAGCTATAAATCAGCTTTAGCAATTTCACCACAAAAGCAATTTCAACCACAGTATAGTTTGTACCAAGACACTTCTTGTGCTCATTCATTCATGAACTAGTCATATAGCAAGATATTAATTCATTAATATTGTGGAAATTCTAATATTGAATATTTTCTGTTTTGGTTTTTAATTTCTCACAGGCAGTGAGAATTCTCCAGGATGATATGGCTTGTGACATTATCAAAATAGGTTCATTAGTTCGAAACAGAGAGAGATTTATTAAGAGGAGACAAAGAATTCTGGGACCAAAGGGATCGACGTTAAAAGTATGTATTGACACACACATCCGCTTGTCTGTAAGATTTACTTAATTTGACATCTGAACTTTAAATTTCCAAATTGTTCTCTTAACCAATTTCTGCTTGTACCTTCTGCCTTTTCAATCTTTTTACTTCTACTCTGTTCCCATTCAAACACATATTTATCATATCATCATATCAAAACTTTCCTCTATTTTTTTGGACATTTGGTATTATCTCACACTGATAAGATAAGCAAGGCTCTACGTATCATTGCAATTTACTATCCTGTTACACTCCTGATCTCTAAGGTTTTCAGGTAGTCTGTGTACCTGTGCCTTCATACATTCCTCAACATGCAACTTCATCCAGGACCCATTGCATTCTGTTTATTACCTAATATTCCATCTAAAATTACCAACTTATTTCATTATGGCTAAATACAAAGGCTGTTCTTATTGTTCTTTTTTTATTTGCTGCATTTAGCAGAGTTGACACCACAACCCACTTCACCAGGTTAACCATTGTCTCCGCTTCCATTTTCAGCTTGGCACCCTTCTGTCTTGGGTTCTACCTTTTGTTGCAATCTTTGTGTCTCGTGTACTAATTAATCCAGAGTTGGGGTACTTTGCACCTCTCTTCTGGTCTTCTTCTTTATGTGGACCCTTTTTCTATGGTAACACAGACTTTATGCTCAGCTACCATCTTTATGCCACACAAATACCAGCACAATTTATCATGTGGAAACTGCGCTCTACCCAGGGACTTCTCTTGTCAACTTTAATCAACTAACACAATCCTGTCATTTCTTTATCACATTGTACAAAAACCCACACACTCCTTTTTCATTTCCCACCTTCACTACTGCAACATATAATCTATCAAATATAACCTCCATTCTGAATTCAGAGACTGTAATTCTTTCTTTTCTCTGGAAAACACTTGTATATTGAAATCACTTTCATAGCTTCACACATTGCATCACATTACTCTCACGATCCCCCATTATTTTCAAGCACTGCAAAAATTAAATAAACAGAACTCCAAAGTTCCAGTTAGATATCAATACTACAGGTACCTCAACCTAAGGGGGAAAAAACCCAGTGAGCACAGTAAGATTGTTTTTTGTTTTTAATCATTTTATTTCTTCCTGTATTTTCTTTTGTCCCATTTTAGGCACTGGAACTTCTAACAAGCTGTTACATTATGGTCCAAGGAAATACGGTATCTGCCATAGGGCCATTCAGTGGTTTAAAAGAGGTAAGGGAAGCACATTTACTTTGTCGTGTGTTTTCTTTAGTAAAAAGCAGCATTGATGAACTAGTGGATGTTGTCTTAGGAACATTGTTTCTCAGTTCTATTCTAAGGACACCGGTTAAAAAAGCATACATTTATAAAGAAAGACAGTAGCTTGTGCAATTTTAAGTATTCGTATTGAGTGCCACTCTTACCTAAGTATTTTGTGCAATGAAAAATAAAAAATAAAGGTTTTCCAATAATTGTAATTTTGTACACAACAAATTAAAAATCACTGTTTAGTAGATATACCCCTCATGAAAAATTGCATGCAATTAATTATGCATTTTTCCATTGGGAATATATATATAAAAAAAAACCCAAAAAAAAAAACCTGCAGTTCTCTTGTCTGCTACCTTTGCCAGCCCTCCCCTTCTAACCCAGCCTAGACCTTCTGTGGCTGTCCAATCACAAACTTCCCATTCAGGCAATTGCTGCTTCTTGAATTCAGTGCAAATAAGCTAACCAAACCAGGAAGTAACAGGACATGTTGTCTGCTTGAAAAGCCTGGGGGATGTAATCAGTATAATTTATAAAAGTGTAAAGTGACACTCTCCACACAGCTTTTCAGCAATATTAAGTGCTTTAGGGATCTGGAGTGCTCTTTTAAGAAATACATCAGGCAGTAAAACTGCAACCACACATCTGGATACATAATGCAAATATTACTGTTTTCATCATGACAGAATGATAGCTTTCTGGTAAAAGAAAATCATTTGTATTGTGTTGGAATTCAACTGAAGTTGCAATGCAATTAAAAGATCTCATAAAACAAAGTAGTGACTACTTTAATATATACAAAATGTGACAAATCATAGCTTTGCCTCATCTACTGCTTACTGTATCTTGCCATTTTTAATCAGCTGTGTCTCAATATTTTACATAACCTTTTTTTTTAATAGTAATAAAACATATTTGCAATGTGTGCCACAAAGTGAAAAAGACTGGGGAACTTTTTCAGGGGCGTGCTGTTTTTTTATTTTTTTCTCTCCCTCTCTCCCACTATACTCATTCATTTAAAGGCATTTTGCTAGATTGTAAACAATTAATTGTAGATAAGTCAGAATGAGCTTTTAAATATCAGAACTGTATTGTGGAAACGTGTATGGTTTTTATATTGCTGCAGGTTAGAAAAGTAGTGCTGGATACAATGAAGAATATTCATCCAATATATAATATCAAGGTAAGAATTAATGTCACAATACATTTTATTTCTTATTTTTAATGTATTCAAAGACAAAGTTGCCAACATCTTTATGTTTATGGAGGAAGATGTGCTGAATGTTACCTATGTGCTTTACAGTTGATTTATTTTCAAGTAAGGGGTATGTTGAAAGAAGAGATTCTCGTCTACAATAGCAAATTAAAAGTGGATTGATATTTAGTGATTAGTTTAATATGTTGTTGCTCATAAATTGAGCCAAAGGTATATAAGACTGTGAACAAATAAAAACTGTTACTAAAGTTTTCCATGGGATGTACTATTTTGTGGGATACATAATCATTCACTAAAGCGCGAGTTATTGTGAATTGATCATTCTGCTGTTTTGTATTAAGATTTTAAATTTGCTTTGAATTCTCAACAATTCACACCAGTGAATAACTCTGAAAGACACACTGACTGACACCAAATACGGAACTTTTTAGAGTTAGAGGCACACACACAAAGAAATTGCAGAAAGCATTTAAAGGCATTGTTGGTTGCACATAATATTTTGGTGATCGATTGCAGTTGTCTTTTGTTTTTTTGGTTAGAGTTGCTTAGGTTCTTATTTATTGCGGATAAAGTAACCAATTTCTATTTTGTAAAATATAATTGTGGAATTTAGTTAAAACTAAAATCATTTAATTAAAATGTTGGCAAATATTATTTTTGTTTTACACATTGCAGGCATTAATGATTAAGCGAGAGCTGGCCAAAGACCCTGAACTAAGATCAAAAAGCTGGGAAAGATTTCTCCCGAAATTTAAACACAAGAATGTTAGCAAGAGGAAAGAACCGAAAAACAAAAATATCAAGAAAGAATATACACCATTCCCACCTCCTCAGCCGGAAAGTCAGGTAAATCCTCTTACTGTCTACTGTCTACTTGGCTCCATACATGTAATGTCCCTCAAATAGCTACATGTTGGTGTTGGCACACACTTCATAAATTCATGTGGACGTTTTAAAAAAGATATCTGTATATTACTTAACACTCCATATAACTTTTATTTTCTAATTAAGTGGATAACTGATAAGGTACTTGCAGATTTTAGGCCACCAATTGCTGAGCTGTAAAATTAGTGGAATTGAAAAAATATTTCCAATACATTTATTTTGGCATAAAATGTATACATTCCTGTGAATTCTCCACTGTTTCCATCTTGATTGGATCATAAGTTTCAGTACTTCTCTACATTAGTATCTTTGCCCACATTGAACTTTTATTCTCTTTCCTATATTTGCACATAATTCTACCAGTCTTGTGTACGGATGATTTGTATACCCCATATATATAACACAATGACGGGCTTTAGCCAAACTCTTTTAAATACGAAGTGTTCTTAATGGATGCATCTTGCATGATATTGTATCATTAGATGTATGAAATATATAACGCTTTTAATCAAAAATGTGAAATAATTTATTAACTTTTTATTTAATGTTAGATATTGCAAAGTTTATTTTCTTTGCTATTAATATTCTTGATCTTGGTTGCTAAATATATTCCTTTATTTGCATCTGTGTTTGTTTACTAGATTGATAAAGAACTGGCGAGTGGGGAGTTCTTCCTGAAGGAGAGCCAGAAGAGGCGTAAGAAACTAGAAGAAATTAAGGTGATTTTCATTATTCTCATTAAGTGTCACTGTTTTGAGTTCTTTTTATCCTTTCTTTAATATTATTTCCTTTTTTTTTTTTTTTGCTTTCTGAAATCAGGTAAAACAGGCTGAAGCAGTCTCAAAGAGACAAGAAGAAAGAAACAAGGCTTTTATCCCACCTAAGGAGAAACCCATGGCCAAGCCAAAGAAAGGTAAAGAAAGTAGTTATAGTTATGTTGGTTTTATGCTTTTGTTCCTGATTGTATTATGGGTTTGTTCTTGATGATTATTCCAGAACCATTTTATGCAATTATCGTATAGTTCTTGTTATAGTTCTTGTTCAATGCTTTGGGGAGTAGCAGTGGGTTTTATCTGTTTATTTTATTGTAATTCTTTGGTTTTAGAGTATATGTGAGAATATCAGGAAGAGATCTTGCACAGTGACCTGTGCAATATTTGCAGATTTCACATAACTCTCAGTGAAAGAGCTATATAGTTATCATCCACATGTGCGCTGTCACTTAGCGCCCCTGCATATTTCGTGAAGACCCCTGAATGTGACATGTGAGCTTGATATGTAGCAGCTGGAAAAGTAGATAAAGGGAGAGGTTTTACCTCGCCTCTCATTTTCTCCACAAGCTGTCTACTGATTCATTTAAATGCAAGTGGAATATGAGTTGAGAAGAATTTAGACAGCTAAATACTGTGCCTAAAATTTTATTCACCTCTTTCACGGTGGCTGCAGCAGATCATATTTGTAGTTTTCCCTATTCAGGAACTTTCTGTATATAAACGAAAATAATGCTTTGTTTACATTTTGTTGTTTGTTAAAAATAGTTGACCTAATAAAATGGAGCGTGTTTACACCTTTCTTGATCCTTCCATGTTTACAGCTTCTACGTCTAACAAAATTGATGTGAATGCCATTAAGGAGAAAGTGAAGAAGGCAAAGGACAAGAAGCTCGGTGCTCTTCCAGAAGAGGAGGTAAAGCAGAAATTGGCCATAGCTGGGAAGAAAAAAAGGAAATAAACATGGCTTTACACTCTTCATGAACTTGTTTGAACCGTGAGGCTTCAACATCAGAGATATTTGGCATTTCCTTTTTGTGAAGATTCTATTCAGTGAGAAATGCCTGACCCACTCTTTATTTTATACAGGCCATATCCTTTATTGCCCAACTATTTATTTCAAATGCCTTTTGTAAACCCCAGAAACAAGTGAATTTTTTAGTACAAGTGGTCAGAAATAACGTTGTCTCAAAATCAATTCCATGCGGTTTATTGACCAGAAGGAGAAAAAAAATTAGAAATGCACCATTTTACCTGAGCTGGAGATTTTTTTTTTTTTCCAGTTTGGCTATGTTGGAGTAAAATGTGCAGTTTCTTTGTAAATGATTCATACTTTACAGTTTATTGAATATATATCCCAGTGTTCCTTCATTGACACGTCATATGCCTACAGTCGTTCATGCTCATGCAATCATTTTCCTTGTAATTACATTACGCTGTAATAAGTTTGATTGTTGTTTTTTCTTTTTCTTTTTTTAAATAAAATTTCTGTAAATGTGTTTGGCATTTCTCTGAATTCGGTAAATAACTGAGCTATCGTTCCTCAAAAGTGTTAAAACATAAAAACCAAAAAACCCTGCATTGCTTTAGAACAGCTGTTGTTCAAGAATTAGGAATTATACATTTATCAGATTTTTCAGAAAGTCCCATTAAGTTTCTAAACATACTTGGCAAGAGAAACCTCAGAGCTCGGGTTCACGACTGCTACTTAATCCCAATGTAGCTTATCATAATGCTGTCATCCATGTTGGCGCCTCAACTGAGTGGTGTGGCAGAACTCTAATACTCAACCAGAGTAGCTCTTCCAAAGCCTCTCTCCTTTTCCCGCAGAGTGTTCAGTGATGTGTAGCAGCCCACCTAAACCTTAGTCCAGTCGAAACTTGATGATGGGTGAAAACTGGAATACTCTATTAGGTTCCAATGCACATATTTATTTACAGACCCTGGCAGGTGGTCGTTATCTAGAACAATGTAGATCCCACCCAGGCGACTATGTGCCTGGGGAACAATTAGATCAAGTACTGCAAATCTTACCTCCAGACAACAGCCTTAACAGAATATCCACAAAAACATACTTTTAGACATCCGTAAACACCACATATAAGGTGTCCCAGAGAGCCATAACTCGTAAAATAGTGCCCTTCTACCATGCACGATGTTGAAATGCCACACAGTTAAATATTTGATTTGCTGCTTTTGGGTTCCAAGCCGATATCCAGCACCGATAGGCGACTGGGTGGCAATAGCCATAGCAGAACGATTATCAGTCCTTTCTGCATAGTTCAGTCTCCCAGCCTTTCCTGCATCATATTTAGAAAGACTACAGTCTCCCCAAACACTTTGATTCCATGCTGGATGAAACATGTTGGATAACTGGAGAAGTGACTGACTTTTAATCTGAGTTGGCAATAAAGATGTTTCTGGTGAGCTGTGACTTGTGTGTTTGTGCTTGGTGAGGCTGCTCATTCCCAATCTCTGATCTTTTGTCAAATGAGTTAAAAACAGGTGCATCTGTGTGTTTGTGTCACATGCATGTGCAGTGTTTCTATATAGAAATCAATGGGCTACTTAAATTTGTGCACTTGCAGCTCTGAGTGATCATGAGGGATAGTATAACCTTGTGCTTTTTTAAATATAATTTCATATTTTTACCAGAAAACTGGCAGCATCTAGTGCTGATGGGAATTTGCTGTGTGTAGCAGGTATAGGAAGGTTTATAAATTAAGGATTCTCTGATTTGGTTGAGGGTTGGGAAAAGTTACTCAGTTGCCACAAAGTTTGGATATAACAGAGTCCTTCAATGGTTACTGTAGGCACCATAACCACTTTAGTAATTTGAAGTTGTAATGGTGCTTGGAGTGTTGCACATAGAGATAAAATGCACTTTGTGTAACTCCACATCTGGCAGTGTCATTAGCCAGCCCAGAACAAAAGTTCCTGGCTAATTGGCCATGGAAATCCATTTCATGATATGATAATGAAGATGTTGCATTAATAGAGTTTGGGGCGTTACATTGTGCTCCAACATAGAACAGATGGTTCTTTCTCATTGAGGGGAGGGATTAAACATTTCTATTTTTTTCTAAAATGTTACAACTGAGCTAATTGTTCTATATGTCTCCACACTCATAACAATAACTGTTTCTGGGACAAATCTCATAGAAAAGAAATGTAATCAGGAAAGGGTTGCATTTTATAAAGTGCCACACTTTAACCCCTTTAGGACCAAACTTCTGGAATAAAAGGGAATCATGACCAGTCAGTCATGTCATGTGTCCTTAAGGGGTTAAAGTGTGGCACTTTATAAAGTGCCATTTTCTAGCAGTGTTTGTCCATTGAGATTACAGGGCTCTGTGCTTGATTTTATAAATATTTTTGCTTTTGGAAGTATTGAAATAGTCAAATCCAATAGTTTGAAGAGATTTCCCCATTTTTTTGCCGTGTACCATATGTTTTCATGAGCTTTACCATGCATCAGCTGTTTAGGTTCCTGCGGTGCCCCTTTGCACAATGTTCTCTACTGGTTATGCTGCCAGGAGTACTCTAGCGCCCCTCATTTGCAAATAGTAAAAATTACTATTGGTTTTAGATTGGTTTGACTCCGAACCCCATTTGCACTACTTTAGACAGAGTTGGATGCAGTGAATTCTTTAAGCCAATGAGTTAGCCTTCCAATATAAAGCATGTCAGATTAATTGTGTCTTACTAGTCATGGGTGAATGAAGATTTCTAGCCATTGCAGGAGATGCAGAACAGAAGGCTGCTGCTAAAGAGATGTTATTGCTAATTTTTATCTAATATATAGGTAATAGTTGAGTTGACCCTACAGGAATGGAACCAACCTTGCAAGTAAGAACTGCTTCAGATTTTATATTTTTTTCAGTTTACTACATACCAGACCTGCCCACTTTGATCTTGGAGATACTTCCTGTAGCAGCTGACTTTTAAAGGAATACTCCAAGCACCATAACCACTACCGCCCACTGTAGTAGTTATATTGCCAAAAGTGTGCTGGTGCCATAGAAGTGTAATCATTCAAGCTCAACCAATGAATGGGTTCCAATATTAAAACTGATATCTGGTTTCTCAAGCCTTAGTGGTATTTTATCAGAGACAACATGAAAGGAACATTTACACTTTAGCTCTGACACTTTTCACAATAATTAGTTGACAAATGATTTCACGTTCTTTGCTTTATTAAAGCTGCTATCTTAGTAGGTCAGTGGTCTCTGTTGAAGTGCCACTAAGGCACAAATCACTTAAGCATCATATGTACAGTGTTCCTCCCTGCTTTGATTCCTGAGCAGGGCCCTCAACCCCTCTGTTCCTGTGCATTCATTTGTTTGGTTATAATTACGTGTCTGTTAGTCAACCTATTGTAAAGCGCTACGGAATTTGTTGGCGCTATATAAAAAAAAAAATAATGTGAGAAAGGCTGAACTTGATGGACACATTCTCTTTTCAGCTATGTAACTAAGTAATCTCAAGATGTGTTGGGATTTGGCTTACATTAACAGTGGCGCTCTGCTCTGCTTTTGTCAACCTTAGTTTTACCCGAAAGACAAAGTAGTCTTTATGGTATCTTTGGATTGTGTTGAAATTTCTACTAAAGTATAAATGAGTATTTCATAAAGATTATATCTATGAAATAAAAAGTGGTAGAGCCTGTTTAAATGAAGAAATAAAGGTATTGTGAAAGATGTTTATGAGCCTCAAGAAAGCTTGATTTTAGTATTTTGTTAGTTGAAGTTTGAAAAGGACTTGCAGTTGCCTTTCAGCTTGTAAATCACTACTTACTGACCTGCTCTATGTTAGCTTTAGATTAACACAATCTCTAGTTATTCTCCACTCATTTTCTGTATAGGAAATGCTCTTCCTTTCTGCTTAGGAAAGGACTGATCTTAAAGAACCATAAAAGTTGTCACATCTTTTAGTAGAATATTCTATACCCTTAAAAAAACAAACAGTCAGTGATGTGCTAGATACATCCCTGGCAAATAAGGCATTTGGATCCAGATTGGAAGTTGTGGCGAAAGTGACCTGTTTGCCAGCCTCTTGCCTTCTGACTATGGCCCCTGGGAGATTGTGCCCTTTAAAAACAGTAATTGTGCATATTGGATTGTAACACACTTTTTCTGCCCCTTTAATTTCAAAATGTGCCTTTTCCCCTCCTCTTTTTCCTGTCTATTGTTCCTCCAGCAGGGCGTTGTCCCAGGGACACTGCCAGACCAGTTTAAACTGGCTGCTTTGTCCCTCCTCAATCTCTCGTCAGCCCTTGCTAAACTTTAACCCAATAGCGATTTTATTCTGTTCGTGGGATCTGAGCGCTGTTTGGATATGATAAGCGCTCAGATCCATGTTACTGGGGATAGGTTGAAAGTGAGGGTTCTGTTCAGTATAATAGAAATTATGTATTTTTTACTTTTGTTGTAAATGGAAATATTTTCTGCCAATTATCTCCAGGATAGAGGAGAAGATAGACCGGCTGCACAGCCTAAATCTGTGGAACTGTTTAGAGGCAGGAAAGCCATGCTTGCAGTCGGTCAAATAGGACTTCCACCTAACTTGTGAACCACTGGACCAATTTGTATGATTTTGACATATGATTGTATACTGCTTATGCTGGTTCAGAATATGTTATGGAGATTATGAATATTGGATGAAACTGTATTTTCCTGCCTGTGATAATCAAGTTAACCCATTGTGTACAGTAATTATATCACAGGTAGAAGGGAGGGTTTGTGTTTCCTAACTGGCAATATCTGACTGTATTATCATGTGTTTGATTGGCTGTTCCACAAGACCATGTGGGTGGTAACCTTGTGGAGAAATATGTATAAAAGAAGCAATAAAACCCCAGCTCTGTCTGTTCCTGCTTACACTCCAAAACTGTGTATCGTCCTGTTATTGGAGGGAAGATTTGCTCCTGTGTCTGCTGTTCCAGCTTACAGGAGATTCACCAGGGAAAGTCCTTGTAAGGACTAGAGCTAATTCCCAATTCGGTTCCAGAGTTCCCAGGACTGAGTAGCGTCTAGTGCCTGGAGGTGTCTGCTGGAGTGTTTGGAGTCCCTTAGGAAGCGCTAGGAGCATCCTTCAATGGAGGTACCCAGTCGTGGTGCCAGGTGATCCGTAACAGAAGTTGGAAAACCTCAGGTTTTAGTTTTTTATTGTGGTATCTTGTTAGTAGGTTCCTATCCAGCAGTGGTGTGGATGCGACTACCCATCAGTAACTATTGATCCTTTACATATGGGGGGAAACAAAACCAAAGAAGCTGCACATTTTACTTGTTTGTTACATCCTTTCTATTCAAATATGTATGTGCTTAACTTATTTAATATTTCAAACAGACTACAAGCTTGATCCTAGCTTTTCATCCTATGAGAAGGTGCTACAAGGTTTTCAAGAGGGCATGAAACAGACCCAAAACCATCTCAAACCAATGTATGGAGGATTAGGTGCAGATCATCAGTTCCCTGTTCCTTTTTGTTAAAAGCAATAAAAATAAAGTTTCATTCTTCCCATATCAGCTGGCCACTGGATTTGTTGCTAGTTGTTTTTTCCAAATACTAATAAGAGTAGATATTTTGTTATTGTATAGGAAGATTACTGTAAGCCATCTATAATTGATGGTAAAATTTGGGAGGGCTCACTTTTTTAGAAGCAGGTCCAACGCTAAATGCAATGACAGCTTCACCAGGCCCACAGCTCTGTTCAATCTGAATTTTCCAGCAGTGAGCTGAATACCTACGGGACCTTTCAGTTGAAACTTTATCAAGCTCAGTTATTTACTAACATTTGGATAGTACTTATTTCACAAACATTACATTTAAACCCCTTAAGGAAACATTTCATCATGAATCCCTTTTATTCCTGAAGTTGTGTCCTTAAGGGGTTAAAACATTACTCCTATTTATTTTGACACTGGATAGCTAACCCAGAATACTCAATGATAAACCTTCCCAAAAGTACACTCTTTTTCAATCACTGATGTGCAATAATAAATCAGTAAATTTTTGCCTCTCACTTATCTTACACTATTTGAAACTTGTTAAGATTGTGTCTCTATTTTCAGACAAGGATTAACATTATCAAGTATGGTACTATAATGGATGAATGTTTAAGTTCAGACATTTCACTAAGCATTATATAGTTCTACCCCCCTCATTACTTTTGGTATTTGTTAAAGGGACACTATAGTCAAAAGAACAACTATAGCTTAAAGGATCACTATAGGGTCAAGAACACAAACGTATTCCTGACTCTATAGTGTTAAAAGCACCATCTAGCCCCCCTGGCCTCCATAAATATAGCAAAATCTTACTGTATTCAAGCCTGAAGCTGTAGCTCTGCATGCTGTTTGACTCAGAAAAACAAGCAGTCTGCTGACATCATAAAAAGTGGTAGCCTGATCCAATCACTGTGGTTCCCCATAGGATTGGTAGGGACTGACAAAGAGGCAGATCAGGGGGCAGAGCCAGCATGATTCAAACACAGCCCTGGCCAATCAGCATCTCCTCATAGAGATTAATTAAATCAATGAATCTCTATGAGGAAAGTTCAGTGTCTGAATGCAGAGCGAGAAGATACTGAATGTTTGGATGCATTTTAGGCAGCCATGACCCAGGAAGGATCTCTAACAGCCATCTAAGGAGTGGCCAGTGAAGTTATCACTAGGTTGTAATGTAAACACGGCATTTTCTCTGAAAAGACATTGTTTACAGCAAAAAGCCTGAAGGTAATGATTCTACTCACCAGAACAAATTCAATAAGCTGTAGTTGTTCAGGTGACTATAGTGTCCCTTTAATGTAGTTTTTCTGGTGTCTATAATCACTCCCTGCAGGCATTTTCATGTAAGCATTGCCTTTTCAGAGAACACAAATGTGTAGTCTGGGCAATAGTGTTAAATCTCCCCCTTCCCCCCCACCCCCCTCCAAAAAAAACAAACAAAAAAAAACACAAAACAACCAACATGTTAGTGCCCAGGCTTACCTTGTTCCCATTAAAAAGGTAGAAAACTTACCTTTTTTCCAGCGCTGCCCGGGTCCTCCGCCCCCGATCTGCTTCATTGGCTGAGATTATCAGTATTGATAAACTGCCAATCCAATGCTTCCCTATGCAAAAGCATTTGATTGGCGGAGATTGTCAGATTATATCCATTAACACATGCTAAACTATGATTTGAGTTGCGAGATTGTTAATTTTAATGATTGCTTAAGAAAACACAAACACACACTTTTTTTAGTTTTCTTACCACCTTTTTTTTTTTTGGGGCAAAAGCAATATATCAAAGCATGACATTATATGCAAGTATATTGACAGTTTTGCGTATTCATTTCTGATTCAACATGTAGTCAAACAAGTCAACAAAAATTTTAAATGAGAATAAAAAATAAAAAAACCCACAAGCTTTTGAAATATTCTGACAAAAATAATTTGTTCCACCAACTGTGCTCAATATAAATATGTCTTTAATAATAGCATCCCTAAAGTTGGAATAACTAAAACATTGCATAGAAATAATGCCTAAACTATGGAACATTTTGCCCCAGTTAGGCTTTCCTTTGTTATATTAATTTACATGAAACTGAAGGCAGTGAAAGGGTGAATGCCTCTTTTTGCTTTAGCAGCGGGGAAAAAAAAAGGCTGCTTAAATGTTTGCATTTTAAAGCGGCTCTGTCACCTTCTTGGGTCTATTTATTGTCTGCAAAGACCTCCCAGTGGCGACCTTACTGCTTGGTGTCCGGTGGCCAAGAGATGTAGGGGAAGATGGGTTTTACTTACCTGAAGCGGTCATTCACTGCTGTTGCCAAGTCCATCTTAGACATGGATGATCCTGGCGCTTCATGTGCCAGAAGCCCACATCAGTAATGAACTCTTGCACATGCGTAAGAGTACATTGAGGTTTATGGAGGATCCTGTTAGAGGCTCCATAGACAATGCCTCTTTCCACACTACCATCAAGAGTGATGGCTGGGATAATTGTTAAAAAATTGTCAGAGGTTGCTCCACCTTTTTGTCACAAATAGGACAAATTCCATAGGACAAAATAGTCCCTAGTTTGTCATATTTTTACTGCATTAGAAGTTCAGTGAGATTCCAACACAGTCAACATGACCATTTCATAAAGATTATATCTTAAAAGCTTAACAGATCTGCTTTATATTACCCAATAAACCAATATAATCTACTTGGTGATTAAAATTGGTGTGTGCTTTAAAACACCCTAATAAATAGATACAGAAAAATGCTAAATCAGGGTAGGCAGTGCTAATTGTAGGTGAACTGGGTTTACAAGACCACCCTAGTAAACAAAGACTGCGGGTACCGTAGAGTTTATTCAGTTATTCGGTATATGATGAGACCTAACCTCAGAAATAACAGGATTTGCACCACAATGCCAAGTTGAAAAGGACTTTTTCCCCTCACTTTGGCCCACAGTTTGCAATTCTCTGATACTCATCTTAAAAATATTCATTAGTGTCAGATGAATGAATCATTTAGAAAGTTCTCTACACCAATAACTTAGCAACCATCACATGTAATGAAATATGTTAACATAATGCTAGTTCAGGAGATTCATGCAGAATGCAAGGCATGTTTTTTTTGTGAAAGACTCATTCTTTTTTATTGCGCTTCCTTAAGACACTAGATTCCTGGCCTGGTATAATATCAAATTCATCATGGCCTTCGAGTTCCGAAGAATCCACAGCTGTGTTTAGATTTGATGGCTCTGAAATGTCATATTGCATTAAACTTGTCCCTTCGGGATCTAGAGATTGTTCATCATTTTCCTCCTCCTCCTCCTCCTCCTCTTCTTCATCAACTCTTTCATACAAGTCTTTTTCCTGCTCATTAAATGAAAGGATAAGGTCTTCAAGTGCATCTTCGCAGGTTTTGTTATCTATGAAAGAATGAAAAGAAGTTAACGATTTCAAGCATTTATGATGATTTCTATATGAAGGGAAAAAAAAATATATTTTTTTTATGTTACTATGCAGCCGAGTGAGGGATATTTAGAGGTATGTCTAGCTACCCTTATCTAAAAAGACAATACCACATTAAGAATTTTCTATCTCTCCTGATGTGTATTATAGCATTAGAGTAGAGTAAAAAACGCTTTCATTTTCTTTGCTATAATGTATTTGTCTTTTTTGAAGATCTCCAAAACTCTGTCCAATCCCTCATCCTTTACATATTATCATTGTTGGCTTTTATTCCAGTTTGTTGTCTTGAGAGGGCTTATTCAGTAAACGCAAATTGTATTGAATCAAGATGGGAATTGCAAATTAGAGGCCCAATTAGCAGATTTAGAAGAGAAAAAAAAAAAAAAAAAAACTTAATTCCACTTGGCTAACCCACTGGTTCTGTTTGTTTAGGATTAAACAAATTAAAATAAAGTAAATTAGCAGAACTAGATTGTTAAAATAATCTCCAAGCACCATAAACAGTTCAGCTCCCCCCCTTATAATGAGCTCATTCTCCCCATTATAAGGAGTCAAGCCATTTTAGAACAGATTGACTTATTACCCAGGGTCCACAGTTTGCTGCTCTCTGCCTCTTCTACAGCCCAGTTACAAGAGGAAGCAACTGCTGAGCTGTAATAGAGGTCGGAGCTGCCCCAGCGGAGCCTAGGTAAGAAGACAAACTGTTCTGAAATAGTTTGACACTTTACAATGGGCATATGCAGTATACAGTATACATAAAAAAAATCATGTGAAAAGCATAGCCAAAAGCATTATATTTAGGTGAAGGTAGGAACAATATAATGTTGTACATGTGTTACCAAGAGAAGTTCTGTCCATTCCACTCTTCTTCATTAACTGTCTGATGGACTGGAGCTGATTCATGATGTCATCTCTTTGACCGCTAGCCAATGTATTAACACTAGAAGGAAATATCACAAAACTACAAATTGGTTTCATCTCTTATAAGTAGTTATAGGTGTATATTACAAGGAAAACAAATACATGCAGACAACTGATTATGTTCTGCAAGGATTTTGTTTCTTCATGTCATTTCTAAAAAGCACTAAACTATGCATCGTCTCTTCTACAGTTCATCCCCAATATACATATACTGTATTAGGCCAAAATGTCAGTAGAATATTTATCTCACAATTAAGACAGCCATATGGAGATAAGCTGCCAAAATGCACATTTTAAGAATCATATGGATCCACAATATATCGCTTGTAGGTTTAGTTACTAAAGTAAGAATTGTGGGGAATTCAAAGTGGATTTTAAATATCAGGCCAAAAGTAGCTGAACTGGAGAAATTCTCCAAGTCAGTTGTGCTTATAGTTCAGGTCATTTATAGTTGGCTTTACATTTTAATTATCTTTGAATTGCCAGCAATTCTCATTTTTATAAATAGCCCTGTTAAAGTTTTCTGACTAACCTGTGAGAATATTCTCCAAATACAGAGGCATTTGGCAAATATCAGGAGCTAGAATTCCTGGAAATACTACTACAAGTGTCAGATTATTTTATGTTGATATGGTGATAATGTTGCCAGACTTAAAAAAAAAAATACATATAAATAAATCAGAGACCAATCCCTTTGGCTGCCAAATTCCACAGCCTTTTGATTATCTCTTTTTGGTTCTCCCAAAGCGTCTATGCTAGGGATTACTTTTAGTTATAGTGTTTTGTATACATCCAAGGGTTATCCCCTCTATAGGGTTCTGTGGACACACTGCAGATTCCAATATTTAGGAATTTTGCATCCTGTATGTTCTACTTTAATCTATTTATAACGGTTTCAATACCATTAAAGTGTGTCAATATATATATACTTAAGTGCAGAGTGACTCTATATCTCAAACATGGCAAACTTTCTATCCCAGTTGAAAGAATCTAATCAATGGTGTACAGATGTTGAGTCAGTATTTTCTGATAAGGACATGACTTATTTACCTGAACAGGACAATATAAATTTTAAATTTAGAACCTTGTCGAATCTGTGCAAGCAACAAATTAGGTTGCGGTGGGAAGTGACTTCACTACAGAAGTATCTAAGCAAATCAATGATACCGAGAGGGCTTAGAATTCAGACCACTTCCAATATTGAAATGGATGATCCGGCTCTTCTAAAGGAATGGGAAGAAGCAGCAGATACCTGCTCTAAAAAGTTCATGGATATCCTACACAGATTCGAATCAGATAGGTTGAAAGCAGTAGATGAAAAATTTAAGTTAGCAGTAGAGGGCATTCAAAGTTGTAAGGATGATCCCTCTTTTACAGGTCAAGAACAGAGACTACAACAGAATCTCAATAAATATCAAAATACTATAAAAAGCCGTAAACATAGGACATTTTTGAGAGATAATGAGGATTATAGAAAGGGTAAAGTGTATAGACGCTTTATTAAAACTACAAGGGTAGACTCTGATCAGTATGTTACATAGGATTATGAGACATCAGATACTGACAATGAGCAAATCCCTGCACCCACTGTGAATTGGAACCCACAAACTAAATACAGGGAGTGCATAATTATTAGGCAAGTTGTATTTTTGAGGATTAATTTTATTATTGAACAACAACCATGTTCTCAATGAACCCAAAAAACTCATTAATATCAAAGCTGAATATTTTTGGAAGTAGTTTTTAGTTTGTTTTTAGTTTTAGCTATGTTAGGGGGATATCTGTGTGTGCAGGTGACTATTACTGTGCATAATTATTAGGCAACTTAACAAAAAACAAATATATACCCATTTCAATTATTTATTATTACCAGTGAAACCAATATAACATCTCAACATTCACAAATATACATTTCTGACATTCAAAAACAAAACAAAAACAAATCAGTGACCAATATAGCCACCTTTCTTTGCAAGGACACTCAAAAGCCTGCCATCCATGGATTCTGTCAGTGTTTTGATCTGTTCACCATCAACATTGCGTGCAGCAGCAACCACAGCCTCCCAGACACTGTTCAGAGAGGTGTACTGTTTTCCCTCCTTGTAAATCTCACATTTGATGATGGACCACAGGTTCTCAATGGGGTTCAGATCAGGTGAACAAGGAGGCCATGTCATTAGATTTTCTTCTTTTATACCCTTTCTTGCCAGCCACGCTGTGGAGTACTTGGACGCGTGTGATGGAGCATTGTCCTGCATGAAAATCATGTTTTTCTTGAAGGATGCAGACTTCTTCCTGTACCACTGCTTGAAGAAGGTGTCTTCCAGGAACTGGCAGTAGGACTGGGAGTTGAGCTTGACTCCATCCTCAACCCGAAAAGGCCCCACAAGCTCATCTTTGATGATACCAGCCCAAACCAGTACTCCACCTCCACCTTGCTGGCGTCTGAGTCGGACTGGAGCTCTCTGCCCTTTACCAATCCAGCCACGGGCCCATCCATCTGGCCCATCAAGACTCACTCTCATTTCATCAGTCCATAAAACCTTAGAAAAATCAGTCTTGAGATATTTCTTGGCCCAGTCTTGACGTTTCAGCTTGTGTGTCTTGTTCAGTGGTGGTCGTCTTTCAGCCTTTCTTACCTTGGCCATGTCTCTGAGTATTGCACACCTTGTGCTTTTGGGCACTCCAGTGATGTTGCAGCTCTGAAATATGGCCAAACTGGTGGCAAGTGGCATCGTGGCAGCTGCACGCTTGACTTTTCTCAGTTCATGGGCAGTTATTTTGCGCCTTGGTTTTTCCACACGCTTCTTGCGACCCTGTTGACTATTTTGAATGAAACGCTTGATTGTTCGATGATCACGCTTCAGAAGCTTTGCAATTTTAAGAGTGCTGCATCCCTCTGCAAGATATCTCACTATTTTTGACTTTTCTGAGCCTGTCAAGTCCTTCTTTTGACCCATTTTGCCAAAGGAAAGGAAGTTGCCTAATAATTATGCACACCTGATATAGGGTGTTGATGTCATTAGACCACACCCCTTCTCATTACAGAGATGCACATCACCTAATATGCTTAATTGGTAGTAGGCTTTCGAGCCTATACAGCTTGGAGTAAGACAACATGCATAAAGAGGATGATGTGGTCAAAATACTAATTTGCCTAATAATTCTGCACTCCCTGTATATAAAAGATAATATACTAGGGGGATATACTCCTTTAAGAATATAAGAGTAGTGCAACATTATACAATAAATCAATGCATACTATATATTATCAACATATGTGTAATCACCTTGACAGTGCTTTTGTTTCTTACTGTCCTCTGGTAATTTCCATTTGAGAAAGTAATACTTTATTATGCTAGCATACCTAAATATGTGTCCAATCTTGGTATTGGAACAAGTTGGGAACAATAGTTGTGTTTTACAGGAATCACTACTATTATTAACATTCTTTACATACGGAGTTTCAGATTTGCCCATTAATATGCCCAGGTGTGTGATACATGGGCTGAACGATCTCCCCGGTTACACATGGTATCTACAGTGCATATGTTACTTGTATTTGTTGTACGAGGAATGGGTCCGCCTTTTGACACACCTCAATGGGCGGTACAGGGGAGGGACGAGAGCTCCATTCACAAAAGCTGGTGTAATGATCAATAAATTCAAATATGGTGAAGAGCCCGTCCCTAGTAAGCGCCCAGGGGGAGGAGGTAGACGGACCTCCAAGCTACACAGATTGCCTTTGATTTTGGCACAAGCTAGGTATACACGTTCGCGATTCAGATTGGCTCTGAAGGGTTCATCACACGGTATAAATTTACCAGCCGATCAGTACCTTACTTACCTTTGACAAAGGCGCTTTAGCAGCGAAGAAACGTGCGTTAGGACTTATGCTTTTTTTGTTTTTAAACCACAGCACTGATTGATGTGCACACTGGGTGGGAAGGAGACATTAGAAGGAGTCTATCTAGTGTGAGGATTATGTATATTTCTTAAGCTATATTATTTATATAAAGGGACTTTAGTAGGCTTCTTTTGAGTTCAGATGCTTAGCTTAAGTTCAAGGAATTCTGTAGTATCTAAAGATACAATCTAATAGTTTATGGCTAATAGGTATCTGATACTCTTAAAGGTCTGAGCAGTGGATATTCTGCTAGCTATCTAACCTGCTGCTTGGTAGCTTATTAACAGACAAGCAAGGATACTTTGTATCCATAGATCATTACTAAGTGCTACTTTGAGCAATCAATACATTAGGAGCTATTTAACTATCCGTTGCATTTAGTTTTTCATTAAAGGACCACTCTAGGTACCCAGACCACTTCAGCTTAATGAAGTGGTCTGGGTGCCAGGTCCAGCTAGGTTTAACCCATTTTTTCATAAACATAGCAGTTTCAGAGAAACTACTATGCTTATGAATGGGTTAAGCCTTCCCCTATTTCCTCTAGTGGCTGTCTCATTGACAGCCACTAGAGGCGCTTGCGTGCTTCTCACTGTGATTTTCACAGTGAGAGCACGCCAGCGTCCATAGGAAAGCATTATGAATGCCCAGCGCTGGAAAAAGGTAAGTTTTTACCCCTTTCCCACTTCCAGAGCCGGGCGGGAGGGGGACCCTGAGGGTGGGGGCACCCTCAGGGCACTATAGTGCCAGGAAAACGAGTATGTTTTCCTGGCACAATAGTGGTCCTTTAAGGATATTTTTATCCATGGATAGTATAGAGTGTATGGAAGATATATTTTATTACTGAGAACTATAATACTGTATTATTGGTTATCTCTGAGCATCACTCCATACCTATTTATCCCTCCTCACATAGACCCTAGGTCTCCCTGTGTGATAGTTTTTTATTTAAGTTTACTTTTTTCTTGGGAATCTATGCCCTATAATAAAGGTGTTTTTTATTTTATTTTTTGTATATATATAACTGCAATACCCAGAGAACTCTTTTTGGTGCTCCCGAAGCTTCTATGCTAGGGATCACTTTTAGTTATAGTCTCTGATATACAATCCTAACACAACATCTATATTTTACTTGAAAACTTATCCCGCACAACTAGATGTAGGGAAGGTAGTGAAGGAAATAAAGAAAGAAGAGCATTTTAATGAAACGTCTGATAAGCCAAATAGTACAGATGAATAGATGGCCGAGTAGGACTACACTATGGTATTCTTTTTTTTATACAGTAATAAATAAAGTAAGGGTAGCAAAACACTGGATTTGTAACAATGATCATACTATTTTAAAATTGCAAGAAGTACTTACCAGTTAGAAAGCGGGTCCAGCTGTGTCAATAAAGAATTCAGCATTTGTTCAGTCTGTGACAGGTGCTGTTCTAGCTGTAGGAGCTGGGTTTCTGAAATGTTTCAAATAATTATATCCACAGACATGCTATAGTTAAATATTGTACATATAGAGTCTTAATTCTAGTACATAAGGATTTACAAAGAAAAGCAGACAAGACATATTTGCAAACAAACACTTTTGGAATGAAAGTCTAGGGGGAAGGAAGATTTCTATAATCAATATTTGACTTGTGTTCAACACTGAGATCTACGGTGCAATATTCACTCAACAAATATGATTGTCATTCAGCATTTTGTACTAAGCAGAGGCAAGATAAATATACACACACACATTACCATACATGCAGATATAATACACTCTGGAATTACAATGCATCTTAAGGTACGGGTATTTATGATAAAAGGGTGTGTGGTAGGTGAGGTCATGTACAATTTGGTAGTGGGACTGGAAACTCAAATCAACATTTAGTCCTCTCTTTCTGCTATTGAAACATCGGAATATTCTGGGTTTAAATATTTTTCTGTCCTGGGGATTTCTGAAATTCATTTTGAGCACTTTGATGCAGTAGGTCTTGTTGTTACAGGTGGCATACCAGGGTACCATTGTAGAACCCGTGGTTGGTAGATAGACCTTGCTGCTGAAACTAAAATAATGACGGTGAATTCTGCTAGTTTTGTGATGATTTGTGGGCTATATTTTTAATGGTCAGTGCTCAAGAGAAAATGGAAAAAAAAAAGCAATATACCATCTTTATGTGGAGCGTTGCTTTACTGAGATTCCATGTCCTTGGTGTTATCAGGAAAGTTGGTGAGTTGGTTGAAATTGTTAAGGAAGTCAGTGGTGTCTTTTATAAAGCTGTTGGTGACAAGAGGTTTTAAAGTATTTTCAACCAGTCCTGAGATCTGTTTTGTAAGTGTTCCCATACCTGTAATATCCCGGGGTTACCTGCTTTGTGGATTTTTGAAAGGATGTAGAAAAGTACCCATGCAGGGATTGGTTGCTAAGTATAAGGGATTCCAATTCTGGTTGTAACTTCTTAGAGTAGGATTTAATAAGTTTCCTGAGTTGCAAGGTACCAGATATTTAGCAAGTGTATGTTTGGACAAAAAGTTATTTTATTGTGCTTTTATGCACAACCCTGACACCAAAATACATGTAAGCATCTGTAGTGATTGTGTCATGCACTGATCCTTGCAGGGAGTAATATTGGATGTCTGTTTCTAGTGGCCGTCTTGGATGACGCATACCCAATACCCAGATAAGTACAACTCTTAATCAATACATTTACTACATTTATAGGCAGCAAAAAGTGCTCTTGCAATATGTATAGTTTCCGAATTAAAACAAATAGAGTAAAACGCAATCTGGAGGGTTTGTTTACGCTGAAAAATGTAGGCGCAAATAATGTAGCAACAACAAAAATTCTACCTGTTTCCTTTGACTTTTTATCAGCTTCTTTTTCACTTTGTGATTGATTCTTCTCTTTGGTCTTGATCTACAAAATATAAAATAAAGGAAAAAAAAAAAAAAACAAGTAGAACAATGTGTTAATTTTTAATATCTTGAAGTTCAACACTATTCATTTCATTTAAAATTATGTGTATACATTGTTTTATCAAACATCAAGAGCTCAGTTCAAGAGCTCAAATCTTTCAACTGAACCATGTTATTAGTTGTGTCTCAAAAAAAAAAAAAAGTTAAAATGTCATCGTGAAAAAATTAAAATGAAAAAATAGATTCCATAGTTTGTGTTGATCATAATGCAATATGTTAAGCTATTTTTATTTTGATTAAAAAAAAACAAAAAAAAAAACCAAACACATACATAAATTTTATTTCTATCAAAACCTGCTTCTAAAGTATTCACGTGAACTCTGCAAGTATGCATGACTAATAAAATTCTTCTAACACACAGACACAATCCCAGAGTACCTGTAGAACTACACAAAACGGAGTCCCAAAACGCGGACAAACAAGAAGGAGTCTGCACATGTCCCCCTCTGTTTACCAGTCCTCTTTGCTTAACCACAAAAAGAGGGTGAGAATGCCCAGTCCCAAATCGCTATTTGATCCATAAAGCATACATGGCATGCTAAGTCCCCAATCCCCAAAATGAAGACATGGATTCGCAATCTCCTATGTGTACCTCCATGAATGGGCATATCCAGCTTCTAACTTCACAAATACTCATCAACATAAGTATTTTAACAAGACACTACAAGCACAATAACAAATTATGCCTCTTGCATGGGTTATGGTGAATGGAGTCTCCCATTTATTATATACAGTACACAGTTGTTTATAACTGCAGCAATAAATCCTGCCTCATGCCCAGAGACATAATGGGAGAAAGGTAGGTATGCCATTGCCTGTCCAAATGGTTATAGTTACAGGAGTGGTGCAGCCAGCAGATGGAGATGCTGCCTAATGCTAAACTATATATCTATATGAATACAAACTTACTGCCTACATAAACTTATGCATTAGGAATTTGGGATCAATTTACAGTATCCCTTGTAATAACTTTCTCTCCAAATCGGAGTTTGTGTACGGCTCCACAAGACCTCTGAACGTGTCCTGTGGTATATGGCACCCAGACATTAGTTGCAGATCCTTTCAGTCCTGCAAGTTGCGAGGTGTGGGCCCATGGATCGGATTTGTTGTTTCAGCACATTCCACAGATACTCAATTGGCTTGAGATCTGGGGAATTTGGAGGCCAAGGCAATACCTTGATCTCTATGTCGTGTTACTCAAACCATTCCTGAAATTTTTTCGCAGTCTGACATTATCCTGCTGAAAGAGCCCAGTGCCATCGGGGAACACCATTGCCATGAAGGGATGTTCATGGTCTGCAACAATCTCTAGGTAAGTGGTATGTGTCAAAAGAACAATCACATGAATGCCAGAGCACAAGGTCACCTGACCATCCACCAAATCTAAAAGAAAACGTTATTCGCCAGACCACGCAACCATTTTCCATTGCTCCATAATCCAGTTCTGGCGCTCACATACCCATTGAAGACACTCTGCGATGGATAGAGGTCATTATAGGCACTCTGATCAGTCTGTGGCTATGCACCAAACTGCAATGCTTTGTGTATTCTGACACCTTTCGATCATGGTGAGCATTATTTATTTCAGCAATTTGAGCTACACTAGCTCCTCTGTGTGATTGGACCAGATGGGCTAGCCTTTGCTCCCCGTGTGCATCAGCCTTGGGAGACGATGACCCTGATGCTGGTTTACTGGTTTTCCTTCCTTGCACCACCTTTGGTAGGTAATAACCACTGTATACCGGGAACACCCCACAAGACTTGCCATTTTGGAAATGCTCTGACCCAGTCAATTAGCCATAACTGTTTGGCCCTGATCCAATTCACTTATCTTTTCGCTTGCCTATTTTTGCTGCCTCCACCACATTAAATTAATGTGTTCACGTGCTGCCTAATATATCACAGCCAATGACAGTGGTGTAATGCTATAATCAAGATTATTCACTTCACCGGTCAGTGGTTTTAATGTTGTGGCTGATCAGTGTATGCCCTGCCAATCTGTGAGAAATATTTTACACAACAGAGAGTTGACAAGATTAAAGGCAGGCTCAGAGCTAAATATTAATAAGAAAACAAGGAGGTAAAAATAAAAAAAAATGAAGACACACATAAAAAATAAGGTGTGTGCAACAAGGAAGTTAATTACTGGTTACTTGTGTCCCACAGCATAATATACCTGCTCCCCAGATAGTTAAGAAAGGAATCTTTAGAACAACAAAAAGAGATGGGTTATGGGAGATCAACATGGCGAGACAGGATTGAGAGCAGTTTGTTAGGTAAAGAGTGTGTCAGGTGCTGTGGTTCTTTCACTAGTGTCTCTTGTACAAAAATTTAGCGTTTAATTTACTTTTTACTCAGATCCATTTGAATTGTCTAGAATGATGCTAGTGCTATTATTTTATTCCTTTTGCACAATCAAACCGGTCACCATTTAACTTAAAGGCTGCTTTCATCATTTGGTGTGTACTAGAAGAACTTAAAGCTGCTCTACAAATTGCACACGGTATTCATTGGATTTTTTTTTTTATTTAATCTGTTTCTGGATTCACCAAGAAGTGCTTAGCAGGAACAGTCTCTAAATGAGGAATTCTTTGCGGTATGTTGAATTGTTTTTCTGCAGGTTGCATATACACATTGATGGAAACACACTATAGTGGCTATGGTGCCAGGGGTGCCACAGTGCTCACTATTGTAGGTTGTGAAACTGTTTGATTACAAAAGAATGTAGCAGTATGCACACTAAAAGCATACATTAATATGCAATTCTTTAATTAGTAATGAAGCAGTTTTGGTACAGGCTTTCCTGGTCGTTAGTGACTTTAGTATGCATTAAGGTTCACACTTAAATTACATGTGAAATAAATGAACATAACACATTATAAGATGCTGCACAAAGTCATGTTGGGGTGCGTATTAGGCAAAACCAGATCAACGGTATCTGCATGAGAGAGTCCCATCGTGCGAGTGTGTAGGGCTTGTGCGACAATCTTCTGACCTGGACTATAGTGTCCCTTTAAGGGATTAAATATTTTGATTTCTTGAAACTGAACCATCAAAGTCCGATACTTTTTAAAATTAAATCATCAAAACTGATGACTGGACGTAAAATATATACAATATCTGAATCTATTCTAGTCTGAAGCTCTTAGAGGCTGGCTTTCTGATAGCCACTAGTAGGTGTGGAAAGTGCAAAATGTTACAAGTTGTCAAGGTTTTCATTTGCAAGGCTGCACAGGCAGCATCTATGCCCAAAAACTATTTCATTAACACGGATTGAATTTAATACTTAGGCAGTTCCTTAAAACATACAGATCTCAGGTTGATTATTCAGGTTCCTATAAAGATCACTTTATTAATAACCTGCAAATATGAATAAAACATTTTTTTTTAAAGATTTTCTGAAAGAAAAGAAAAACAAAACCTATAAATGTCCATCCTTTGGCATTCTGCTACTAGGTAGGTGTTTCTGAACATTTTTGAATACAACCAATTAATGCTAAATAGGGGCCAATTAATCAAATTAAATATACAAACAGCAATAGTGTTAGACTATCATATTAGTAATTATTAATACTTACTTTTGTGAATTTGTAAGCTGCAAAGACAGCTACCCCTATCGTATACAGTGGCATTAGGGTGAATGCAAAGCTTCTTCCGCTACTGTTCATCTTCTCAGCCTTCATTTCCTTCTCCATTGCATGTTTTAAATGTTTAATGTCCGGGTACAACTTCGTATCTGGTCTTTCTATTTGCATAGGGCCTTGATCATGCATTTCTAAATAGGACAATGGGGGAAAAAAAAGGTAAAGATAATCGTGCAGGTAAGCGATTAGTAAAGAGCACAATCAGGGAAATACCTAAAGATATAAATACCATTTTGGTTTTTTTTAGCAAAAATACCCCCCAAACTTTTACAGTCTTTTACAGTCAGTCATTACCTACCATAAAATGTGCTCCAGGGCCTCCTGTAATGGAAGGAATGCGGTTAGATCAACATTTCAGTATCTGCTCAATGTCTGTTGGTCGTCTTTGTTATTCTTTGTAATCTTGAACTCAGCCCCATGAGAGATATTTACCAATGTTTGCAGATAGCATTAAAATGATATATTTTCCGAGTACCTAAAGAATTATGATTTGAAGTACCAGGATAACATCTCAAATTCTCTGTATGAACACAAGTTTCATATCTGTCAATCAAAACACTAAAGTCAAAGAGGTTGATTTCATAAGAAAATAGCTGACAGTGTTCCAAGTTGAAGAAACTACAGGAGTAAGGAAACAACTTAAGCTATTCTGCATTGAATAGGATGACTGAGAAGCCCATTTTCTCCTTTTGATCTCCCTTTGGCAAATGTAATAATGTGAGAGTGAAAATTCAATTAGCCACAATCTCACACTAACATCCATTTATCAGAAGTCTTCTCTGGTTACACAATTTGCACCCAAAGTGCATTTATTCCTGGAAATAAGCACAAAGCTTCTTAAAAGGTTTATCTCCCTTTCCATTTAACTCAATGTATGCCCATGTCCATTACTCCATTCACATATCAGATGGCTGCAATGTCACACAACAAATAAAAGCCTTCAACGGATAAATGAAGCCTCTAAAAGTAATAATATCGACTGTTTGGGGTAAAACGTCCTGTTAACATTAAATTCCATTATGCTCATCTAAATTTAAACATTCTTATGGGCCCTATTGACAGATTTCATCAATTAGAAGGGATCAAAATTCCCTAAAATTCTGGCAGCTTCGAGACACGGGAAGGGGAAAATGTTGAAATATAAAAACAATTATGAAGAATTAGCTACCACACAGCAAGACAAAAAACAGTACATAAACCATAGCATTTTCAGCTAAAAATTATTTGGCCCAACATCGTATTGGTAAAATGCCCTGCGGATTTTAAGATCATTAACGTTAAGATTATTTTTTTGGCCTGAGTGTGGCAAGACACTTATCATAAAGTTGCATGTGTCGCCTACGGAACTCATCTTAAAAGGCCACTTCAGGGTTGGTTTTACCATTTTTAATGCATCACATAAATAATGCATTATGGAAAACACAAAAATAAATAATAAAAAAAACTCAACACACCCTGCATAACTCACTGCATTACATGATGTGTATCAGGTGTGGGTGTATGATGAGCAACTTAAACTCCCGTGGAAAGAACCTTCCAACTAACACATTAAATGTAATTAAACAGGAAATATTACTTTTTAGCAATTGACAGTTCATTAATCCTTAGCGTTTCGACGCTAAAATAAGTCTTCCGAAAATATGTCTCAGAATGCACCTGAGGAAGACGTATTTTAGCGTCGAAACGTGTTGTGCTCCTTGTTGGCATCCCAGAATTCTGAATGTAAGATTTTATATATTTTTTAATAAATGATACTGTTGTTATACTTCTAACTGGTGTTTGCCTATCCTGTTCCTCCTATACATTGAGGGCCAAGCTTCATCCTTTTGGAATTCACCTAAGAATGTTTCTTAAAGTGACACTACCTGAGCCAGTTCCTCTGTTAACAGGCTCCACCATATGTGAGTTGGACTATATAGACTACTATATTAGATCTTTGCTGACTATTGCAGTATTATGCTATGATTCTTCTGTTCTTTATGTACAGGGTTTATTCCTACTGACATCTATTATATTAGGGTATTTATCCTTATTTTTATTTTGATTTACACATTCACCTAAGGTGGAAGCATCACTGATATATATCTTTGTGAATCTATTACATATGCTGCACACTTCTTTGTATTGTTGTGTTTTGGTTTCTGTGGGATTTTTATGATTAAACCCCACTAGTGTGTTCTAGCAGCTGTCCTCTAGCGCCACAAACTGTGCCTCCTTTTTTGGTTTTGTACCTGTATCCCAGTCACTGGGCAAACCGGTGTGCCTAATTACCTGAATCCCTGCTGAGCACGTAGTGTCCTCTATAGTCAGACGCTAATCCGCCATCCATTCATTGGCTGAAAAGCATCAGCTGACTGCTCTCAACCAATGAATGCAACTTTGTGCACAGAAATATGTACAGAACTGACATTAACCAGACGAAACACCCAATGACTCCCCTTATGCTGCCGGGGGTGCATTGGCGTTAAACTCACTATACCTTTGAAAGAATTTAAACCTCCTCAAGCATGTATTACATGTATTTCAGCATTTTCCATAGAACAGGTTACCTGCCTGGAGCAATTAGCTCAGGGGTCACATGTTTTAACTGTTAAACATGATGTTTTATAAGGAATACTCTAGCTATTACAGTAATGGCTTTGCAGCTCTGAGTAAATACAACTCCGGTTGCTTGTCCACCCATATGGTAAAAACACATTATTCAGTGTTTGATTTCAGTTGGTCAAAAAAGAGTTCAGTTTGATTTACCAGTTGGTCATAAAAAGTAGTCATGTACAACATACACACTTGTTGTAACTACCTTGATGAACAGGATTTAAATAAATGTTTTATCAGGACATGCACTTTGCTATGTTGGTCTATTAAGAGCTTGCACAAACATTTCAAATATTAAAAATAAAAAAATATTTATTAAATTAATGAAATCTAAAATCCGTATACACTATTGTAAATATATAAATATACAATTTCTTTAAAAAAAAAAAATATATATATATATATATATATATGACATGAACACAGCACTCTCAAAACTAAACCTACCAAAAGGTTTAAAGTCCCTGATTCTCAGTACTAAATAGAAAATCTGGAACATTTATTTGAATTTAGTAAAAGGTAATCAAATATGTATCCTTCCTTCTTTATTAAGTATTTAAAGTGACAACAACTCATCTTACCTACATAAACAATATCAAATATCAAATTTTTGCAAAAACGGATCAAATCATTTGTATAAGAAAAAAAAAAGAAAACGAAAAAAAAAAAAAAAAAAACGATGTAACTTTACGGATCAATTGCAATTACATAAACTAAACCTCGTGCAAGTCAAACAGTTAAAGCTGACAAAGTTTTCCTGGACTGCATCCCTTTTTTCCCCCAAGACAGCATGTAGCAATCATATGCAGTAGTTAATGAGGTGACATCCTAGCCGTAGCATTTCAATGCTACATACTGTCAGGGGGCACCTTTCTTTTAAAAAAAAAATAAAAAAAAAAATGGGGGGAACTGGGAACACACCTTGAACATGCATTTCTCAACGGTAGTGCTGCTCTAACACAACATACAGATACAATGTATGCCAAATACAGATACAATGTATACAAAATATAGGTTGGAGGAAATAAATCCCTATATTTGGTTTCCAAGATATGTGATTTTAGGTAGCCATGTAAAATGTAAGACATCCTTTTTGCATGTGATGCCCAACAACATGTAAAAGTAATATGTCCAGGAAAACATTATAATAATTAATCTGGCAGGTCTGTGTTTCAAAAGATTGAACATGCAGGTCCCCAGAGTGCAGCCCTCCCCTTCCCTTGTCTATTCCAGATAAATAATATCCCCCCCCAGTGCACATCTACCTCTGGGTGGGCGAGAGTTGACAGGGACCATCTTCCTGGGATCAGCCTTCATATTCACGTCTCCCTTGCCTCCAAATAACCGGGGTAACATGACACATGCAAAGAGTGCCAGGGACACTGACAGCATCATCTGCTGGGAGAAGGAGAGCGCCATGCTGCTGGCGACCAGGCGCGACCTCTTCCTACAACTGGCACCTGGAGCCAAGCTCAGGGAGAAGCTTCACACTTACCTGGGCGCTGATTGGCTGCGGCTCCAGTGACGTCACTGAAAGTGTCTCCCTTACTGTAAGCTATTTCTTGGAGCCAGTTCCTCAGGCTGCAATTAAAACCCTGGTCTCCGGGAAAATGGCTGCCCTTTATTAGCTGTAGGGATTGTTCACATGAAAACTAATTGTTGTGAATTGAAAAAGGCATTATTGCAATATTTAGGCTACATTAGCCAAGCTATGGCTCCAGCTGAGCTGGGGAATTATTTCCCAATCAGTTGGTGCTGTTTAAATTGAGCACTTTGGGTTTTAGATCCCTTTAAAAAAAAACAAAAAAAAAAAACAATGGAATTATCTGGAAACATTAACCCATCCTAGAAGAAGCTGAAGATTTATTATCTCCTTGTCTTGGTGCCTTTGTGGATCATTACTGACAATATTGACTTGTGCAAACAAGTAACATAGGAAACAATATTAGAAAGAAAAAAAAAATAATAAACCCCAGAAAAGTCCCAGGTGACTTAGTAAACGCACAAAGCAATTATCGCATTACAAGCTCACGGCACAAACAGACATAACAGCCTGTAAAAAAAAAAAACACCGTCGCACAGTGATGGACTCACAAAATTGCCAACCAATCAGATCGCGGGATTTTGCGTTCCAGCGTGGAATGCAAACACTCCCACCCGTCGCAGGTTGGGTTTCCATGGTAACTATCACCGCAACCTTTATGGATAACTGGTAACTAGTATTCTTCACTACCCACCTGCGTCTTGGATCACCTTATCGAGTGAGTTACTAAACATTATCGCCCATTATTGAACGTCCCCAGCCATCTTTTGTTTGCTGAGGCTCATGGCCTTGTCATTTATTGTACATAGCATATGGAAAGAGAGTACACTATCAGGGGAAGGGCTGCCCTTAATATGTGCAAGCTGGAGAGTATAACTTTGAATTAGGCTCACAAAATCCTCTATTAAATAAATACCTACCAAGCGTCCCTGCTCAGAGGGGACAGTCCTTATATTGGATCCAAATCCCTCTGCCCCTCTCTTCTATCCAAATGTCCCTCTTTTGTAGCTACATTGTGTTATTGGTTTGTTTGTCTGAGTGTATATAACATTAATATGACTTTAGACTACAATAAATGTGTTTAAAGTCTGTGTATAAAAAGATACATTGTTCTTGTACTGAATTACATTTTGTTACATAAATTGTCACCTAAAATTTCATAGAACAGTCCCTCACCTTGCCACACCAGCACTCACACCCTATACACTGTTTAACAGTTTAGTAGATGTTTTGCCCAGTAACACATATAATCCATTATTTTATACTCAAGTTTGTACTTTGACTTACTAAAGGACAGTTTATGTCACGTATGAATGCTACATAGTGTTGGAGACCACTATCGAATTATTTTTTTTAAATAATAGTTGCACATTTCCCTTTTTATTAACACACAGGCAATTTTTTTGTTACAGTAAGACTATTTGTAAAACCAACAGGCAAGTCAAAATGTAATTGAACCTGTCTAAATTATAGGTTTAATTCCTGGCCAAATCGTCTGGAGAATTTAAATGTTGCATGCATTGTGTGGACTATGATGATGTATGATGTAAACACAAGTTTTAAATTATGCACTTTGTTGCTTTTTTTTTTTTTTTGTCAAAATAGGTGGAAAAATAGTCCTATCTTAGAGAGTTTTTGTAATATAAATGTTGGCCTAAAGTGTGCAACTACTTTGTCACCACCAATACCAAGCCAGTGTGTACACTGTACTGTAGTAATTTTTTTATCCATGTGGTAATTTACTAAGCGTTGAAGATACCATGCCACAGAACCTCACAGGATATATTTCATAGATGAATCTTCAGTGCTGTTTTCACAATTGTTTTTACATGCAAATAAAATTAAGTCTATTGACTTTGAATTTGATAAATCACACTTGAACAGATTCTCTGGTAATATTGTCAACTGTATTTATACATGCTCCTTATGTCATAGAAAACATGACCATTACAACCAATTCTGAAGACATTTTTGCAGTTTAGTTAAAGGGAAAGAATACTAGAAAAGCAATGGTTTTTAAATGTTTAGGCCAAGGTAGGTTGATAGTGTCAGACTTGAGAAAATGTAAAGAAAGTTTTCATTGGACATTGACTGTTGACCTACAAGACATTGTGCAGTTGTCACATGAATGAATTGTGCACATCAGTTTTACAGCAGTTTTACAGCAGTTCCGGAATCAGTTGCTTTTAATTAGAGTTCTAAATGACCAACCCACAAATCTTTCTAAAAATGTTGCTTTTCACTTAAAATAAACATTTCTATTTATTTATTTATTTATTTTCAGAAAATTCTATCATGAATTTACAAATAAAAGGAATAGCTGCGACTCCAAGAGGTCACACACAGCAATCATCTAGTAATCCTGCTACTAAGGTAAAGCATCACATGCCTTGAGATTCACATTTAAGTCAGTTCGTCCCTTAGCTGTCCCAAAGTTTTTCATTTATATATAAAATGAGAGAGTTTGTCATTTTACTTTGTAATAAATGTCAGATGCTAGCACTGTGGAGTATGGGACATGACCGCAATGAGTTTTGGGTTCATCATGCCTTCCAAAGTCATATGAAGGAAAGAATCCAATAAATCCCTACCTATAGAGGGATAAATGGATAATTCCAGAAAAAGGCAAAGAAAAAGATTCGGACTGTAAGTCCAATTGAGAGGATAACAAGAGAAAAAGGGAAGCCCTACCTTTAATAATTCTAGGGAAGTAAATAAGGAAAAATAAACCATAAAGAGGAAGGGTACCAAACCTAGAAAGGCTGCATAAATATCTAAATATACGAGATACCATAAGGCTTATGGTCTAGATTACTAGTGCAGCTACAAAATAACTGCAAAAAATGCCAGCCTACCTACACAGAGGGGTAGGGATAAGCAAGGTAGTCTAAAGGTAGGGAGAAAAACTAAGCAGAGGTAGGAGAGAGCCCCCCTCCCTCCTGCAAAATCCCCCAAAGCCAGGTGCTGATAAAAAGCCAGGCTATCCCTATAATACCTCGGCACCGTGGAACATCCACTAATGCCTACCAAAACCTCTGTCCCTTCCTCCACTAATTTAAAAAACACACTTAACTAACTAAAGATAGTGCATAGTGCTACCTAGTGAATAAGGTGAGAAAATAATAAACAAATAGCTCGCCGAGGGTCGCGTAAACTAAAAAATAAACACAACTAAATATGTGCCATTATTTCTGAGGTGACAGATTTAGATCAAATAAACCCTATCTCAGTAAGATGCTAATATTGTAACTGTTATTTTCAAATAAACACTAATAGTGTATTTTGTCTATGTTATTAATAACAGTCTTGTTATTTATAAATATACTCAAGAATATCTACAACAAGAAAAGACTAGAATAGTGTACTAAAGTCAAGTGAGTACTTAGAGGCTATTCAATGTTGCACTCACAGAAAAATCAATGGTAAAAGGCCTTAAGCTCCTTCAAATATGGTATTTCTTCTCTCTTTTTCTTACTCCAAGTCAAAAGTATACATAGGGAGAGAGAAGAATGGACACATAGAGTAGATCTTCTTATATCGAAAATTAACAATTTATTACAATTTACCGGTATTACTACTTACAAGCTAGATAAAAGAATAGGCATATCACCATAACCACTGAATCCTCCTCCAGGACAAGGTCCTCCAGGACAAGGTCAGAAGGTCAGGAACAACAGCATACAAATAAAATAGGTGATCTATACAAGTACTTAAAAATACTTAATAAAAAACAAAAAAATAAAATAAAATATAGAATCAATTGATATATTATACAGTATCAAGCCCTACGCGTTTCTTCCATATGCATGGACTTCCTCAGGGGCACAATTATCCGTCACAATTACCATATTTAAATGAGCTTAAAGCCTTTTACCATTCATTTTTCTGTGAGTGCAACATTGAATAGCCTCTAAGTACTTACTTGACTTTATTACACTATTCTAGTCTTTTCATGTTGTAGATAATCTTGTGTGTATATATTTTAAGAAGATTTAGATGAATCTTATGTTTATCTATATTGAAGGAAGCAACGGTAATTTTATTATTTTTATCATTTTTTATCCCTTCTGTGTCTGTTCCTTTTCACTGGTGGAGCTGTTGTTATTAATAAAGCCTTTTTTTTAACTTTAAGTATTTAGTAATAAATCTGTTGTTTACAACTTTTATATATTGAGCTAAAATTATGTATTTTTTACTGTTACATTATATATTAAAAGTTTTATGATTTTGAGCCTTCCATACATGCAAGAATATACAATTTTTATAGTCAGGAAACAATTTCCTTTACTTTGCTTTGTATAGAAGAACCTTTTTATCTAATTAACCTAATTTGTGAAAGCTGGAATAAATTTACAGGTATTTAGTAGATGTCACTGCAATATGTACACTAAACCAAGGAGTAAGAGAATAACATTAGAATGCCAAGTAATTTTTTTTTTTTTTTTAAACATTGTTTATAATTTAAATCGAGCCTTTCACACAGTTACTCTACCCTCCGCCATATTGCCCCACATCCGGTCCTCCGTTTCGCCTCCCGTAGTCGTTTCTGGTTTGCCCTGCTTGAAGACGCTCCATGACTCTGACTTCATTGCCAGCATGCCTACGTCTGAATGGAGTGACGCTAGGATTGCTGGCTTGGCAGTTACCAAAACAACTACAGCACTTGCACTGTGGTTTCTATGCATGGATAGCAGATGTTGGTGGTCTATTTTGCTGTCCTTTCTCAATCAATTTTACAGCATGGAGTCTATGCCAAAGAATAGATTGACAGGTGTTAGAAATGCCTATTTTTAAATTGGTATTTCTCCCAATCTATACATTTGCTAGTATGTATAGATGAAATTTGTTGCTCTTTTGTGCATGACAGGTTCTCTTTAAAAGTGCTAAATAGGACCCTGCTAGTTAATATTTGTATCTTATGCAGGGCTCAAAATCTGCATGCTCCACTAGCACTGACTAGCCAGGCTTGCAGTGGCAAATAACTTTTAGATCTGTCTAGTAGCGTAGGATTTGAAATTTTGAACCCTGACTAGTGTACTGCCTACATTCATGTGAAATGTATTTATGAATATTATTACTTTGTTATACTACTTCCTAAGAGTCAATAAAATACAATTATTTTTCTTAAATACTAAAATAGGTTTGTGTGGTTTTGCAGATTTTATAGGTACAGTTAATTAGGCAGTTAAACTCATCAGAGCCTTATTAACATAGGGGCTAATGGAGCTCAAGCTCCAGGACCATGCCTGTTGAATAGGCCTATTGATGTACAAGAAACAAATGCATTACATTTTGTTTGGTGTATGTGTGTTTGTGTTTACTTTTTGTATTTCAAAAATGAATAACAATTGTATAGATGTTACATTGTACCCTGGAATTGATCATTATGGCCCAATGGGGTACTGTTGTGATTTTCTTCTCTTTTTCTTTAAAGGAAAGTCTTTGATGTAACAATTGAGAAGAAACAAATACATTAAAAAAAAAAAAAAAAA